AGGGAGGGAGGAAGGAAGGAGGGAGGGAGGGAAGGAAGGAAGGAGGGAGGAAGGGAAGGAAGGAAGGAGGGAGGGAGGGAAGGAAGGAAGGAGGGAAGGAGGGAAGAAAGCAAGGGCTTCTGGCAGAGCCAGTGGGAGCGGTGGGGTCCCCCCCCCCGTCCCCCTCCCCTCCCGCCCTCCCCACGGGCACCGCGGGCACCTTCTTGTCGTATTTCCACTGCTGCAGCCGCTGCGTGGCGTCGCCCCTCCTGTCCTCATCGATCTGCGTGGGAACGTCCCCTGTGTGTCCATCTGGCCGAGGGCCGCCCCGCGTGGGGGCTGTGCCGCTGCGCGCCCAGAAACTCGGGGGAGACTACCTGTCCCCTCCCCACACCTCCTTCCCGGGTGTCTAATATCCCACCCCTTGCTCCGTGTCCCCCAATACCTCCCACCGGCCACCTTAACCCCCCCTCCTTCTCTGCTCCCCTCCACCCTCAGCCCCTTCCAGGCAGGGATGGACAGACAGATGGGTGGGCAGATGGACAGACAGTCCTACGGGAGGGACCCATGTCTCTCTCTGCATCTGTCTCTGGTCTCTGTCTCTCTGAGACTGTCCCTCTGTGTCTCTGTCTGTCTCTGTCTCCCTCTGTCTGTCTGAGACTGTCCCTCTCTGTCTCTGTCTGTCTCTGTCTCTCTGTTTCTGTGTCTCTCTGAGTCTCTCTGTTTCCCTTTGTCTCTGTCTCTGAGCCTCAGTCCCTGTGTCTCTGTCTCTCTGTCTCTCTGTCTCCCTGTCTTTCTGTCTCTCTGTCTCTCTGTCTCCCTGTCTCCCTGTCTCTCTGTCTCTCTCTGTCTCTGAGTCCCTGTCTCTCTGTTTGTTTCTCCCTCTCTAAGCCTGTCCCTCTGTCTGTCTCTGTGTGTCTCTCTGTCCTCTGCTCTCTGAAGACCAGCCTGTGCACAGCCCATCCCCCCTCCCCGTCCCCCCTCCCGTTCCCTCTCCCTGTCCCCCCTCCCATTCCCCCTCCCCGTCCCCCCCCCCCAGGCCCGGCCTCACCTTGAGGCTCACGGGGCCGGCCTCGCTGGTCTCCAGGGGCAGGAGGCAGGCGGAGGGGATGTGCGACCACTTCTTCTGGCGGAGCTGGTGGTCCCTCTTGTATTTCCTGCCAAGGGGGAGGCACTCAGCACGCGGTGTCCACGGGACCCTGGGGGGGCGTGTGCACCCCAATGTCCTTGGCGGGGGCACAGGGCAGGGGGGGGCACCTGAGCACCAGCAGCGCGATGAGCAGCAGCAGCACCACTGTACCCGTGAGCGTGAACACGGCGATCAGCAGCACCTGCGGGCCTGCGGGGGGGGGGGGTCAGGGCAGGTGAGGACGCCGTGCGACACTGCAGTGGGACACGGCGACACGGTCCCACAGCGGCCGTGGCGCCACGGGGACACTGCAACAGGCCACGGACGCCACAAAGACACCACAGTGGCCACGGACACCACAGCAGGACACGGACAGCACAAAGACACCACAGCAACCATGGACACCACAGCGGCCACGGACACCACAGCGGGACACGGACGCCACAAAGACACCACAGCGGACCACGGACACCACAGCGGCCATGGCGCCACGGGGACACTGCAACAGGCCACGGACGCCACAAAGACACCACAGCGGACCACGGACACCACAGCGGGACACGGACGCCACAAAGACACCACAGCGGACCACGGACACCACAGCGGCCATGGCGCCACGGGGACACTGCAACAGGCCACGGACGCCACAAAGACACCACAGCGGACCACGGACACCACAGCAACAACAGACACCACAAAGACACCACAGCAGCCACGGAAGCCACAGCGGGACATGGATACCACAGTGGGACACGGACAACACAAAGACACCACAGTGGGCCAGACACCACAGCAGCCACGGACACCACAGCAGCCATGGATGCCACAGCAGACCACGGACACCACAAAGACACCACAGCAGTCCACAGACACTACAAAGACACCACAGCAGTCCACAGACACCGCAGCGGGCCACGGACCCCACAGCGGGCCATGGACACTGCAGCAGTCCACAGACACCACAAAGACACCACAGTAGGACATGGACAGCACAGCAGCTACAGACACCACAAAGACACCACAGTGGATCACAGGCACCATAGTGGGCCACGGACACCTCAGCGGGCCGTGGCATCCAGGACCCACCCAGGCTCGGCACGTCATTGGGGAGACGGTGGTTCTTCCAGAGGAACGAGGGGCTGGCGTCCTCGGCGTGCGTGCGGTTCAGGTGCGTGTCATAGGTGAGCAGGAGTTTGTACTGCCGGGAGGAAGGAGAGGACATGGCGCACGCCCCACCGGCCGGCCCGGCCGCCACGGACACACACCGGCGGGGACTGGCCCGGACACGGCCGCCAGCGAGGGAAGTCAGCCACAACCTGGGTCTATGCCAGGGGCTGGCCCTCCC